CACTCCTTCGTTGCCTGGGCGGTATTTTTTGGGTCATTGTCATGTTGGAAGACCCAGCCATGTTTCTTCAATGCCCTTGCTGATGGAAGGAGGTTTGCACTCACAATCTCACGATACATGGCCCCATTCATTCTGTCCTGTACATGGATCAGTCGTCCTGGTCCCTTTGCAGAGAAACAGCCCCAAAGCATGATGTTGCCACCCCCATGCTTCACAGTAGGTATGGTGTTTTTTGGATGCAACTCAGCATTCTCTCTCCTCCAAACACGATGAGTTGTGTTTCTACCAAACAGTTATATTTTGGTTTCATCTGACCATGTGACATTCTCCCAATCCTCTTGTGGATCATCCAAATGCTCTCTAGCAAACTTCAGGCGGGCCCGGACATGTACTGGCTTAAGCAGGGGGACACGTCTGGCACTGCAGGATCTGAGTCCCTGGCAGCGTAGTGTGTTACTGATGGTAGCCTTTGTTACGTTGGTCCCAGCTCTCTGCAGGTCATTCACTAGGTCCCCCCGTGTGGTCCTGGGATTTTTGCTCACCGTTCTTGTGATCATTTTGACCCCACGGGGTGAGATCTTGCGTGGAGCCCCAGATCGAGGGAGATTATCAGTGGTCTTGTATGTCTTCCATTTTCTAATTATTGCTCCCACAGTTGAATTGTTCACACCAAGCTGCTTGCCTATTGCAGATTCAGTCTTCCCAGCCTGGTGCAGGTCTACAATTTTGTTTGTGGTGTCCTTCGACAGCTCTTTGGTCTCTTCACCATAGTGGAGTTTGGAGTGTGACTGTTTGAGGTTGTGGACAGGTGTCTTTTATACGATAACAAGTTCAAACAGGTGCCATTGATACAGGTAATGAGTGCAGGACAGAGGAGCCTCTTAAAGAAGAAGGTACAGGTCTGTGAGAGCCAGAAATCTTGCTTGTTTGTAGGTGACCAAATACTTATTTTCTACCATAATTTGCAAATAAATTCTTTCCAACTCAGCCAATGTGATTGTCTGGATTTTTTTTCTCATTTTGTCTCTCATAGTTTAGGTCTACCTATGATGCCAATTACAGGCCTCTCTCATCTTTTTAAGTGGGAGAACTTGCACAATTGGTGGCTGACTAAATACTTTTTTGCACCACTGTATATGGCTATCTTCGGTCGGCAAGTGGTTAAGGGGAACCCAGTGCCAAAAAACAAAAAACAAAAAAAAAAAACAGCATGGGGTCCCCTCCCAAATCCTTACTAGACCCTTATCTGAACCTGGCAAGCCAGGAAAGAGGGGGGGAGGGGTGAGCGTCCCTCCTCTTAAACCATACCTGTCCACATGCCTTTGACATGGGCATTGGTTGTGGGGGTGTGTGGACAAGGGGCTTATTGGAATGTGGAAGCGCCTAGATCCCGATTCCCACCCCCCATGTGATTGAGTATCCCTACTCGTTCACCAAAAAGTGTTACGCGAGTAAGAACACAGAGCCGGTTTTTGACAACAAGTCCTTTATTAAAAAGAAATAAATAAATGTCCCACAAATGTTCCATTGTCAAGCATGAAGTAAATCCAACATCACCTGAACAGAAAAAAAAAAAAAAAGAAAAGTCTGTACCTGACGCTGGCTCCCACTGACAGATTCGCCGCCTTCCGTCGCGAAATAAACTAAGGTGCAGGCATTCACAGCCCAGCAGGCCCAGTCAATGATGTCACAAGGTGGCTCCACCCCCTTGTTTAATTAGCGGCGGAGCTGTGAGATAGCAAAAGTAAGCGTCAGGTGCGGACCTTTTTTCTAAATTTTTTTTGGGGTCAGCGGCCGACGCTCATCGTGATTGATGTTGGATCTACTTTGGGGGACATTTATCTATTTATTTTGAATAAAGGACTTGTCAAAAGCCAGCTCTGTGTTTTTACTTACTTTTAACACTTTTTTCGTAAATGATTAGAGGTACAATGTACCCCATTCACATGGTGATGGCTGGGTTCTGGGGGCCCCTTTGTTAAAGGAGGCTTCCAGACGCTGATAAGCCATCCACCCAAAGACCACCACCACAATCACCGCATAAGGTTGTGGGGAAGAGGTCCTTGTCCCCATTAACATGGGGACAAGGTGCTTTTGGGGGGGCCCAAAGCACCCCCTATGTTAAGGGCATGTGGCCTGGTATGGTTCAGAAGGGGGGGCTGCTCGCTTATCCCCTCCTTTCCTGACCTAAAAGGCTGCATGCTCGGGGTCTAGTATGGATTTTGGGGGGGACCCCCACACCATATATTTATTTATTTTTTTTTAATTTTGGGCGTTTTTTTTTTCTCAAAATTTTAATTGCCAGTAATTTTGTTTACATTCAGCTGTCAGCTGGGAAGCCAGCTGACAGCTGGTGAGTCAATTGTCGGTAAGGATGCAGCAGCCGCTAAGAAAAAAACAAATCACTGGAAACCAGCTCTTAGCAGCTTTTAGGATAGTTTAGGGGCATTCAGTGTTTTGTTTTTTTTTTTGTGCCGACAAATCGCTCCCAAAAGATGCAAAAAAGCCCTAGTAGCTGAAGCTTGAAAAATGCTTCTAGCTTACAATAGTGTGAATGGACACACAAGATAACATTTCTTGCTTCTAGGGGCATAAAAAAACCTCATCAGTAGCTGCAAGGGGCTTAAAATAAGATTGTGTGCATGGAACCTTAAAGTAGAGCTATGGACAAAACTTTTTTTTTTTTTTTTTATTTTGAATATAGCACGGGACTGTCATAACCCGTCGGGTTTTTTTTTTTTGCCATTTTTGTCCCATTGGGAAGATTTACCTTCACTTCCTGTCCCATAGCCAAACAGGAAATGAGAGGAAATCCCTGCAAATTAAGGGAATTTCTTGGGGACCCCCAGGTCACCAGAACTAGTGGAAGATTTCCCCTCTATTACATTTCCGGGGACAACCCAAAATTTGGGATTTTCTTTTACTTTTACTTTCAATGATAATGGCAAAACAGGACAAATAGAGAAGGTGAATCTGCTTAATGGGGACACAGACAGCAATAAAACCTGACAGGGGTTCTAATCCCTCTGCATTGTATCCAAAACAAAAAAAGTTTAGTTATAGTAGACGGTGTTCTGAACTGTGCTAGCAGATCTTCATTATCCTTTGTAAACTAGCTTTGAACACTGTCTGTCCTAACAAAGGACTAAAATGTAGAACCATTGTATGTTAATGAGGGATAGCTCGGTGAGTCCCCACCGAGTGGCAGACACCGTGAGATTCTGCCAAGACACCTTCTTCTCCAAAACATCAATTTTTTTAGGTATACTTCTGAACTTCAGATACAGTTTTATTGCATAGTTACATTGACCTAGCTTGTTCACTGTAAGTTTATACAGTATTCGATACCTGTGAAACTGGAGATTTACTGCAGTAGTTACTGCTACTACAGTGATTGTCGTGGTCCTCTGGGTCCTGTGTTGAGCAGCTAGTTTTGTACATAGTGAACACAGGGGTTCCCTTGCTTGGCACAGCCACCGTTCACAGGATGCCAAGCTGGACAAGTGTAACTAAGTAATAGAAACCATACATGAAGTTCAGTTTTAACATGTCATAAGGCTGTGACACATTGGGGTTAATTTACTAAAACTGTAAAGTGCAAAATCTGGTGCACCTATACGTGGTAGCCAATCAGCTCCTAATTTCAGCTTGTTCATTTAAGCTTTGACAAAAAAAAAAGACCTGGAAGCTGACTGGTTTCTTTGCAGAGCTGCACCAGATTTTGCACTCTACAGTTTTACTAAATCAACCCTACTGTCTGATTTACATTATGTAAAGCATGTAATAGTTTCAGTCACTGATCATAAAAATTCGAACCTGTCATAGCAGCTGTTGCTTAGGTATTGGGACTTCTGGATTACCAGGAAAATCCTCGGGAGCATGTACAGAATGGTGCAATGTGGTGTCTCTCGGACAGTACCTACCTATGTTTTCACCAGCAGAAGTTTCCTTTTATTATATTTTAACCGTAATCTGCAAGTTGGGAAGCAGAAGGTATGATTTGAGTGGTACCAGGCTCTTGGTTGGCATACCATAGGGCAGGGTTTCTCAACTAGGGTTCCTCCAGAGGTTGCTAAGGGTTCCTTGAGCAATGAGAAATTTCTCCGTCAGATAAATTCCCTCTGACACCACTGATCCTTTTGAGGAAAGTGGAAAGATAGCGCTGGACCCGTAGGTTTATTTTATTGGTATTTTTATTTATGGTATTAATGTTGGTGTAAATGATCTGGTTCCTGTGTAGGTGGCTTCCATGCCCCTGAGGATCTCCACAGTCTCCCTGGCTTGTACCACTGATAAGAGGTCCAGATACAAATTTATTCCATTAAAGGTCAGGGGTATAATTCAAGAAGTAGCCAACGCATTTCGGGGATCTAAGTGCCCCCTTCTTAAGGACTAGAAAGAACATAAGAATATTTTCATATCAATCTGACATCAATACAATGTCCCCCCCATGGTGTCATAAATAAATAAAACCAGTCAATCGTAATGAGAATATTAAAATAATTACATAAAAATGAGAACATGAGTGCTGAACAAAATTGAGAATATGCGTACTGAAAACCAAACCTACAAATAAATACATAAATTATAACAAAAATCATAATAATAATCATTACTATTATTACAATGACACATTATAGGTGATATGTTAACCTAATAAAAGGGAGAGGGAGAAAAAATTGGGTAAAAACTCTCAAAACCATTGATCCTTTTAGCTATCTGTAAAGTGGGAATTCTTTCCAATGACCACAAGCGTAAATAGCATTATTTATACTGACCATCACACTAATATATCATGAGTTGTAGATGTAGAAATTTTTAGAAGGGGTTCCCTGAGACCGGCGTGCATTAGTATGTTTATTAGTTTTGATGTGAAAATAAACTGTGGTGATTCATAAAATATATATAATACATATGAAATATTACAGTATGTCATGTAACCCTTGATTAAACCGCTTTGTTGATCTGTATATAAATGTAAATTCAAATTTTTTTTAAAGCTGCAGAATTTTACTTCAGATGATGAACAAGAAACTCTTAAAGCTCAAAGTCCAGAAAACCGCTTAAATGGTCAGAGGTCACAGAGCCCTACAGTGATCTCATTAAACAGCGAGCAAGAGAGAGTTAATGAAAATCTGAAATCAACAGCGGCTGAGGAGTCAGGTAGGTAATGTGTGGTCTTGAAAACATTTTTTTCTAAGGATAACGACCATTATTTAGCAGAGGACAGAGGTAGCGATATGTGTGATCATCTCATCTCACGTAACCGCACACTGCAACAGAAAGACCCTCTTGGACTTTTTGCATTCTCGTGACAGATCACATTGCACCAGGTTATTTTAAAATAAAGAATGAGAATTACAGTGCCTTGAAAAAGTATTCATACCCCTTGAAATGTTCCACATTTTGTCATGTTGCAACCAAAATCGTAAATGTATTTTATGTGATAGACCATCTCAAAGTGGCACATAATTGTGACGTGGAAGGAAAATGATAAATGGTTTTCAAAATTTTGCACAAATAAGTCCTTACTGTGTAGAACCACCTTTCCCTACAATTACATCTGCAAGTCTTTTTGGGGTTTGTCGCTACCAGCTTTGTGCATCTAGAGAGTGAACTTTTTGCCCATTCTTTGCAAAATAGCTCAAGCTCTGTCAGATTGGATGGAGAGCTTCTGTGAACAGCAATTTTCTAGTCTTGCCACAGATTCTCAATTGCATTTAGGTCTGGACTTTGGACTGGACGATTCTAACACATGAATGTGTTAGTTTGTGTGTTTAGGGTCGTTGTCCTGCTGAAAGGTGAACCTCCGACCCAGTCTCAAGTCTTTTGCAGGCTCTAACAGGTTTTCTTCTAAGATTGCCCTGTATTTGGCTCCATCCATCTTCCCATCAACTCTGACCAGCTTCTCTGTACCTGCTGAAGAAAAGCATCCCCACAACATGATGCTGCCACCACCATGTTTCACAGTGGGGATGAAGTATTCAGGGTGATGTGCAGTGCCAGTTTTCCGCCACACGTTTTGCTTTTAGGCCAAAAAGTTCAATGTTGGTCTCATCTGACCAGAGCACCTTCCACATGATCACCAGGAATTATTATTATAGAATTTTTTTTTTTTATCAGGGCAAGTAGATTGTCATTAGGAACAAGTAGATTGGGACCCCAATTTAGTCCTTGGGCAAGTAGTTTTTTTTTTTTTTTTAAATTTCCACACCCCTTTATTATACCAATTGCTAAAGAGTCTCTAAAATTAGAAACAATGGCTTGGAAACAACAGAGCTCAACAATTAGAGGACATATGGGTGTATGCCATTTGGTCCAGGTGCTTTTATTCACATTTAGTATGTGTATGTATGAATGTGAGTTAGGGACCTTAAATTGTATGCCCCTTGAGGGTTAGGGATGGATGTGAATGTACAATATGTACGTAAAGTGCTGCGTAAATTGACAGTGCTATATAAGTACCTGACATAAATACTTTGTCTAAAGGTTTCTGGAATTGACAACACATTGACTCTGGTGAGTGGTTCCTGCATCAGGAGTTATTTCTAATCAGGTCTCTGAATGCTGGGGCACATAGATAAGATGTTGTCCTGTTACAATTGCATGAATTACAGGGTTGTAGCCTAGGAGTCCAGCGAATGTCCTGGTAGCACCATGAATGCAGTACTTCCTGCTATATCTTTTTCCACCACTAAAATGGCTCCTTAACCCTTGCAAAAGATTAATGCTTGGGGCTCATGAGACTTCAAAGATTGGATTTGCCAGACACGTATTTATCATATTCTTTTACAGGTTGGTTCTGCTTGAGTGGTTTTATTCTAGCGACAGAGTTGCTTTAAACCTGGCACAAACTTGGTAGTAATACATATAGTAAGCTGTAGTTTCCTTCTACCCATATCTCTGCATATACGTTGATCCGAGGTTTTTGCTGAAAATTTCTGCTCAGCATTTTATTCTTTTACAAAATAGTTTATTAGTAGAATAAGAAAAATTTTACATCCAAAATAAAATGGAACATTTTGTCAAGCATACAGTAAGTAGATTGAGTTAAACAAATACCCTGTTTCCCCGAAAATAAGACCTAGGAATATTTTTGGGAATTGCTAAAGTATAAGACCTAGTTGTGATCAGGGCTTCTGCCACCCCTGGCACTGGCCCTGTGCACAGTAATATCTACTGTCTCTTATTAACACAGAAGTGCGACTTTTGTGTTTGCAAGTGACAGTCCCTCTTGTAATATAAAACACATGCAGCGCAATATTGTATAATCCAGTCATCAAAATGTACATACACCTTGCTGTGTGACAGTACTAAATTATCATACAGTGCATATTCAGTGCTACCAACATATCTCCTTATATAACATAAACGCACTTAATTTCATATACATTCCCCTATTGATCATGTTTTTACCAAATCTTGTATACTGTGCATTTACATATAAACAGTGTCCCACTTCGACAAAATGATATATTGTGAACTTCCCCTTTAGGGCTCTGTGCTCCACGTGCTCATGTGCAATCGCTTCTCTTTAAATAACCATCCAGTGTATTCGTGCGACCCCCCCCCCCCATGTTGTAACCATCTCCGACACACTTATGCACTCACCTTATGGTTTGACCCGAACCGTCAGGTCAAACCTAGCCTTTCCCTTTAACCCGGGCGGGTGTAATGGTATGCCAATCTCCAATTGCTCCTGCTCCTCCAAACTCCACAACGCACTGCTCAGAAGTGGGTCCGAACCGTTTGGTCAAAGAACGCTCCTCTCCCTTTCCACAGATGGGAACGCTGGCACATACAATCTCCAACTCCTCCTCACTCCAAAACGCAATTCGTTTGTGTCCTCCTGGGACACAACAGGATCAAATACTCTATGTCAGTGCTTTTGTGAATGAAACAGCATACATTCCCGTATCCAAGATGGCGGTATGTACACTTCCGGTTATGGCTTGACGTCATCGGCGTGCTCTACGCTTTACGTCAACACGTGACTTCACCAGGACTCCTGATGAAGTCACATGTTCCTGCATCCCCTTTCCTCAACTCACCACTGCACCCTGTCTGAAACTCACCTGTCAATTCACCTCTGCAACACCTGACTGCAGCTCACAACTGTCATCAGTTGGCCCTCTCTATAGTAACCATCATCCACAACTGCCTGCAGCTCACCTCTGCACCCCATGTCCACACCTGTACATTAAAAATATAAGACCTACCCTGAAAATAAGACCTATTTGTGTTTTTTTTGAGGCAAAAAAAATATAAGACAGTATCTTATTTTCAGGGAAACATGGTAGTATAAACACGAATAATCGCAGTGGTAGAGATTGTGGCTTATGAACTTCAAAATAAAAAAAAAAAATGTAATCAGGGTATACAGCTTATCAAGCATGGGAGGTTCATAAAACTAGCTTATGTAAACTGTAGCATTTGGTTTAATCATATGCATATTGTACTGTCCAGATACACTATGTGACAGGTTAACTATTAAGGCCCCATGCACACAGGACATTTTCCCAATTCTCCTAGAAGCATTTCCTCCTGGAAAAAAAAAGTTTCAAGGCTGTGTTATCTGTCCCTTGCACCCAGAAATGGTGGCAGTGACCCATGTACTCAGATGGTAGAGTTATGTGAGTAACACTTGCTTTACTAGGTAAAAAAGAAAATGCATGCTAAATGGACAAGTTAATTTTTTGCCCAGACATGGGCCTTAAGCCTCCAGTCACATCAAAGCCAGTTTTGAGTATGGTATTAAAACCCTAGCGAGTATTATGCCCTCTGGGGTGCTATTAACATTTTCTCAACTTTCCTAGAAGTTCCGACTTCCGCAGAAGATGTTCTTCCATTATTTCCAACTGCGACATGCAGCCAGGGCCCAATTCCCACAGCCACCTATCCTTCAGGGAGACGCTGTTGACTCAGGAGGACCTCCCCAAACCACTGTCTGCCCTCTAAAGAACATTGCTTGGTGTTAATTCATCTAAGGTTGAGAAATTATGGGCTATATGGAAAGAAGATATTCCTTCTCTGGATGAGGAGGATTGGGCGAAGGCTCTGGAACAGGGTCCTACGTTGGTTATCTCCTCCAGGGATAAGCTCATACAGGTCAAATTTTTACATAGGGTTTACTTTACCCCCTTGAGGCTCTCTCGGATATATCCAGAGCGGGACCTTACCTGTCCTCGTTGTAGGTTACATCCCGGTACCTTTCTACATATGTTTTGGACGTGTCCTAGAATTGTATTATATTATTTTGGACTGATGTTTTTGAGCTAATTAATGTACGGCTTCAGTTGTCCTTGGCCCTCTCACCTGCCTTAGCATTGTTGGAGCTTCATGATGATGTGCAATGATCCCACCATCTGAAGTTGTTGATATCCTACCTCTTTTATTATGCCAAAAGAGAGATTCTGTTAAATTGGAATTCTGAGGATCCCCTGGTGGCATCGTCCTGGGAAATGGCTGTGGATGCGGCCCTCCCAATGTACAAGCTTACCTATATCAATAAGGGCTGTCCATGGAAATATAAGGTGTGGCTGCTCTGTACGTCTTACTGAGGGATTTTGGAGACCCATTTTTCTCTACTGGAATTTGAGTGGGGACTTATGGTAGCATCGCCCTTCTTTTCCCCCCTTTTTCCTCTTTCTGGTGCTTTTTTCCTTCTCCCTCCCTTCCTTTCCATCGGGTGACCTGCCAATTTCAGTTGCGATTTGCAAGGCATTTGACACCGATGTCTATGCAAATCACAAAAAAAGTAGTGCATGCACTACTTTAGACAATCGGTGCGACTCCGACCAGGTCGGAACCGCACCGATATGACCACACTAATAACAGACAATAGGGTGCGACTTGGTATACGATTTGCAAGTCGCATGGCATGCAATTTGCATGCCAAATCGCACACGATGTGACCAGCGTGTAAGTCAGTTTGCACTGCAGTTTTGTTTGCATGTGTGAATGGTTACTGACCTATTTACATGCGTGAATGACTTGCATTTCTCTCTAATTTTGTTGTTTGAACAGATTCTTCTGAGATTCCAGTTGCTGCAGAACCCAACATTGACCCCAAACTGGAAAAAGCTATAAAGAGAATGAAGGCTCTAGATGAAATCTTGCTTAAAAAGACTGCAAAGGAGAAGGAGGTTTTAGCTCAGAGCAATGCACTTAGAAAGCAATTGTGGGAAGAACTACAGGTACAGAAATTTTAATTGAAATCTTCACTGCAAACTCCAGTTTTATAAAAAAAAATAAAATTATCCAGGCCATCTATATACAGCATGTTGCATCACATTTAGTAGACTTAATTGCATATTTCTAACTGCTTTTCCCTTATCAAGATACTGAGACAGGCTACTGCAATAATGTTTTGAAACTGATGGCTGCTTGGGGGAGGCTCTTCCTGCTGTAATTGCTTGATCAGCCTCTGGACTGCAATAAAAGAAACTTAGCAGTCCTAGCATCTCTTTATATTTAAATATTTTTATTGGAAAATTTGAAACATACAGAATAATTGAAAACATTGGTATAAAGAGGTGCATCTTTAATACAAAATCTTGTATAGGTAGGATAAAATGGAGTAGGGGTACCTCGCCATCTGGCCGAAGTACATTGCAAAGTCTAGATTCAGTTACATGAGAGGTATGCTCAATTTTGTGCACCTTATTGGACTGTAGTAGGAACATTAAGGGGGAGATTAGAAAAGGGAAAGAAGGGGGAAGAGGGGGAGGTAGAGGCACCTAGAGTGTCAAAATCATGTAGTGTGGGTGAACATTATATAATCATTTTATTGAACAGTTGGGGTTGTGTAACCATCGGGTCCATTGAGTCTCAAATTTGTGGTGTGAGAAGGTATGGAGGGCTGTTCTCCTCTCCATTTCACATAGGAAGTTAAGATCGGACAGTAGTCGGGACAAAGAGGGAGTGTTAGTAGATCGCCATAGCCTGGTGATATTGAGCTTTGCAGCTGACAGAGTGTGTATGGTAATGGTGCGTGAGGGCAATGGAATTTTGTCTATTCCAATATGGAGGAGCGCTAGAGCCGGGTTTGGGGTTATTGGAGTCTTTGTAATGGAAGAGATTATTTGAAAAACTTGGTTCCAATAAGAGGTCAGGGACTTACATGTCCACAGTAAGTGCAGAAGAGTACCTGATTCCCCACAGTGTCTCCAGCAGGATTGTGAATGTTGTGGATAGAATAGGGCTAACTTAACAGGAGTTAAGTACCCTTGGTGGAGTACTTTCAGATATGTTTCCCAGTGTGAACTGCACTTTGAAGATTTGTAAGTAATGGCAAAAGTGCTGAGAGATATGGGTTGTTGAATTACTTTTTCCCAGTTTGCTATGGACGATGTGTGTGTGTATTAAATTGTGATTCAACTAGAGTCGTGTAGAACGTTGAAGTACCTTTTTTTGGATAGGTTGTTTTTTGCAAGAAATGCTGTGTAGTAGCTGGGATTTTTATGTTGCATGGTACGTTTGCCTTGTAGAGGGTATGGGTTATACGTATATAGGTAAAGTATTCAGTAGCTGGGATTTGGTATTTTTCTCTAATAGTCTGAAATGAATGTAGTGTATTGTTAGTGTACAGGTTTTGTATGTAAAGTAATCTATGGTTTATCCATAAATTTAGGTTTAAATGAGGAGAGAGGAAGTGTAGGGACGAAAGCGGAGTGAGAATTTGAAGGTTGTCTTTACGTAGTTGGGTATGAGAAATAAAGTCATACCAAGCTGTTAGAGAGGCTAATATGCAAGGGTGATTATGTAGGTGTGTAAGGTGAGCCCCGCGAGGTATGAATAATTAGTCTGACAAGGTGTGCGGTAGGAATAAGGAAGTTTCCATAAGAGTCCAGGTTTTGTTGATTGTGGGCTGCCACCAGAAGAAGAGCTGATCAAGTAAAGTGGCAAAGTAATAGGATTTCATATGTGGGAGTCCCGCTCCGCCTCTGGAGGTTGGGCAGATTAGGAGATTTGTGGCATATCTAGGCTTTTTCGAATTCCAAAGAAATTTGTTCAATATTGCCTGAAGTTTTGTAAAAAAGATGTGAGGGACTGGGATAGGGAGCGTGCGAAAGATGTAAAGTATCTTGGGTAATATACAAATCTTAACTGTCGCCAATCTGCCTAACGTCGAGAGAGTAGTGGTGCGTAGTGCTTTAATCTCTTGTGGAATAGATTCAAGTAGTGGTTTAAAATTAGCGGTATATAGTTGGTTGGTCTTTGCAGTCAGTTTGATTCCCAGGTATGGGATGCTAAGTTTTTCCCAAGTAAAGGGGAAGTGTTTGGAAATTAGATTTTGGGTAATCTCAGGTGTGTGTAAATTTAGAATAGAAGATTTCAGTTCATTAAGTTTGTAGTAAGACACGGATGCGTAGTTTTGGATATGCGTTCGTATGGTGTTAAGGGATTTGTATGGATTAGTAACCATTAGGATAATGTCGTCTGCAAATAGACTGATCTTGTGTTCGGATTTTAGGCATTTAATTCCCGTGAAATTGGGGTCGTTTCTAAGGGTGGTTGCTAGTGGTTCAATGAGTAGCGCAAAACTTATAGGGGATAGTGGGCAGCCTTGCCTAGTTCCGTTGGAAATGTAGAAGGGTTGAGATAGTTTGCCGTTAGTTAGGACTCTGGCCGATGGCTTGGAGTAAAGGGACAAAATGGCCGATAGCATCCAATCAGATATTCCAAATTTTTGGAGTGTATGCGTCATAAACTTCCAGTGGATTCGGTCAAACGCTTTTTCTATATCAAGCGATAGCAAGAGCGAAGGTTGGGTATCTAATTCAAGGTGGTGTATCAGGGATATGATCCGTCTGGTGGCGTCAGGAGCCTGTCTACGAGGAATAAATCCTACCTGGTCTGGATGAATTAAAGTCGGTAGGTAAGGGATTAGTCTTAGGGCGATTATCTTAGCGTATATCTTTATATCTGTGTTAAGGAGCGAAATTGGTCTGTAATTTTGTACTAGTTGAGGGTCTTTACCTGGTTTCAGGATGGTGGTAATTATTGACTGTAGCATGTCTTGGGGAAATGCGCCACAGGTGGCGACATGGTTGTACAGGGGGGATAGGTGCGGAGAGAGGTCGGGGGCAAATGTTTTGTAGTATTCATTAGTGAAGCCATCATTTCCTGGTGACTTGTTCAAAGGGAGGGTGCGTATGATTTTTTCAATCTCAGCCGAGGAAATCGGTATAGAGATAGATTCAAGTTGAGATGGGGTTATGTGTGGGAGATTAGTGTTATGTAGAAATTGCTCTATTGAGTGTGTCTTGGGTTGGGTTGTATTGGTGTCATCTTTTAGGCTATATAGTGTCTGATAGTAGGCCGCAAAAGCATTTGCGATATCCTGTGGGTTTGTCAGAGTGTTGTGCGAGGTAGGATGTCAGATTGTGGATATTTTGGTTTTAAGACGTTTTTGTTTGATAGTTTTACTAAGGAGTGAGTTTGCCTTGTTACCGAGTGCATAGAATTTAGCTTTTGTTTTTTGTAGGTTGGTGTCGTATGCGTGCAGTAAAATGGTACGTAATTTATTCCTGTCTGAGTTTAGGGTCGCTGTTATAGCGGGGTTTGGATTCTGTTTGTTGAGTTTTTCATTGAAGCGAATGGAGGTCATGAGCTGATCAATTTGTTGAGAACGCTGTCTCTTAGTGCGGGCGTTTAACTGGATGAGGATACCTCTCATGTAGGCCTTGTAGGCCGACCAAAGTGTGGTGATAGATATATCATGGCTGGTGTTGGTGTCAAAAAAGAGCTTGTGGGCTTCTTGGATACGCTTCTGGTTATCCGGTGCTGTTAAAAGTGAAGAGTTGAGTCTCCAGATGGGTGGGAGCGCTGTGTTTTTGGTTGTTGTCTAATGATATGTGGATTGGAGCATGGTCCGACCAGGTTATAGTCCCAATTTTGGATGCTGTCACTTGTTGCAATGTCCATTTGTCTGTGATAAACATGTCTATGCGTGAGTATGAAAGATGTGGAGGGGATTAATAAGTATAATCTCTTTCAGAGCCATGTTGACATCTCCAGATGTCATAAAGGTCATTGTCGTGCAGAAACTGATTAAGAGTTGGTTTCGTGAATTTTGAAGTGGAAGATGAGTCCATGTCCGAGTTTCCCGTAATGTTGAGATCACCACCGATGATGAGTTTCCCTTGTTTAAGCATGGAGATGGTTTTGTAAAGTTTACGGTAGAAACATAGCTGTTTGCAGTTCGGACCATAAACATTTACTAATGTATGAGTCTTGTCGTTTATTTGGCATACTAAAATGTGGAAGCGTCCAAGTGGATCCGCCTTCTGTGATAAGAAACGAAATGAAAGAGAGTCCTTAATGGCCGTGATCACTCCATTCTTCTTTTTGGGGTTGGTTGCCATAAATGTTTGAGAGAAACGATGAAGGTATAATTTGGGCGCCTTTTCGGTAGTGAAGTGTGTTTCCTGTATGAAGAGTATGTCCGCTTGTGACTTCCGTGCTTCTCTAGAAAGTAATGAACGTTTATATGGCGAATTAAGGCCTCGGACGTTGAATGATGTAAAATTAATCATTTGAAATCATGGTTCCACGCTTTTTTGTAACCTGAGGTGGTGTTTGGGAGAGGCATATGATTATGTATCTTGCGAGAGGATAAACATTTAAGTGGAGGTGATAGGACTGAGACTCAATCGGAGTGTTGAGGGAAGTATTCCGAGGTGTGTCGAAGTAAGTGACATATGGGTGTTGCGTGGGTATCCAAAGGTGCCATGGTAGGGAAGGGGTAAGGATATAAAGAACAACAATAAAAAAGGATTTGCAAAAAATGCAAATATCTCGAGTAGCCAACTTTGCTACCTCAAAACCGGGGGGTGCGGGTGGGCTTGCCGCCAGACGGGGGTCAAGCCAGTTGCAACCATTTTAAACAAACTTTGCAAAATTTAGGCCAAACGCCAGACAGATCGGATGAAGAACTGGCTCCTGGGAGAAAGTGTGGACATATTTTAGTAAAAAGAGGAAAAACATGTCATGTAATGATTATGTTGCCTCCATAGAGCTATCCGCGGGTTCTTGCGGTTCCACAGGGAGGATATTCCAGGTTTTCAGTAGATCCAGGCCTGCCTCCAGTGTTTTGATAGTGAAAATTCTACCATGTTGCCGCACCATCAGTTTGGTGGGGAACCCCCATTGGTATGCTATGCCATGGTTTCTTAGGGCCTTGGTGATGGAT